ACATAGTAGGTACTTTACAAACGCCTATTCCCTTCCTCTTCCCCCTGCCTGGAACTCCTTCTCCCCCTCCTTACTTCCTTGACTTCCTTCAAGTCTCAGCTAAAGTTCTTAGGTAAGAAAACTTTACTGATCCTCCTTAATGCTAGTGCCTTCCCTCTGTTGCTTATTTCCAGTTTGTCCCATATATATTTTATTGGCACAGTTGTTTGCATATTGTATCTCCCCTGAGACTGTGAGGACCTCAAGAGCAAGGGCTAACTTTGCCTTTCTTTGTAACTTCAGTGCTTAGTCCAGCGCTGAGAACATTGTAGGTGCTGGATAAATGCTTGGTGACTGACTGGCACATAGTCAATTCTTGATGATTGCTTGTTGATTGATTTATTTTGGGTATGAGTTGGCTCATATGCTAGCTGAGATCCCCTCCAACTCTCCAATTCAGTGACTCTGTAAAGGTGTCTGTAGTAGGGAGTGGGAGAGGATGTCTGCAGAACCACATGTAGTAATTTTATATTAATGTGGGCTCATAGAAACGTCTAACTTCTGTAGGGGATGGAGCTCACTATCTACTAATATTGGTGGTCGGATGACATATCAATCAGTCAGGGGAATAATGACCACCTAATACTGAGAATGCTGATTAGTACCTTCCAGGTTACCTCATAAGTAGTTTGTGAAAGGGGGTAGGGAAAAATATATACAGGGTGGATATCACCAAATGGGGCAATGTTTCCAGATACTTCATTGTGATTACGGCAGTGTAGAGAGAAATTCTGACAGAAGAAAGCATGGTTCTCGATATGCTACTTATTAAAGGCAAAGGTGTGTAGGTAGTAGTTATGTTCCCATCATCAGGTAGAGTCATACTGTCAAAGAAAGCAGTCTCTCTGTGCAAGCAAACACCAAAGTTTTCTTTTCTTCTTTGAGATGTAGATCTTTCAGCTCAAGTAGTAAGAAAGACTTTAATTTTTTTTTTTGAGGAGGGGGGATATCCCATACTCTTGGCAGGATGGGTTGTTTTCTGCATTTGTTTTTCTTTAGTATTCTTGGAATACCAAAGGATTTGGTATTCAAGAGTGCTACAATAACTTTTCTAAATTATCTGGCACAGAGTCCACAGAAAGAGTCTTATTGGTTCAAACAACAGCCATGGAACACAATGCCATCCTGGAACTTGTTTGGTAACAGAGGGCAAGAAAAATGGGAGGGGCTAAATGTTTGTGAGGATTTCTTTTCCTGAAAGCAGGGAAATGTCTTTGAAGAGTTCCAAAGCCCAATACTGAGTTGGGAACAGCAGGACTTGTTCTGGGAGATCAGATTACTGATCCAATTAGTAGGGAATACTGAATCTTTAGGGAAATAGGCAAACTCAAATACCCACCCAATAGAGGGCTAAATAGTAGCTCACTTTTGAAGACTAGTCTGGACACATTCAGATTGGAGTATATCTAGCTACTCATAGCAGAAACTGTCTCCACATCACCTGTATTTGAAGCAACATGAATCCCCAACTTACAGATATGATACAAGATGCAATGTGACTGAAGGAGATAACATGAACTAAGATGGAAGGAGAGGGAAGGAAAGAGGAAAGGAGAAGAAAGTAATAATCTGTCAAAGCCACAAACCTGAAATGTCTGTATAGGTCATTCTGATTAGGGCAATTTTGCAGACAGTGAACTTGAAGGCTGCACACTTTAGAAAATTAAAAGGAAGCAGAAGTAAGATGTGGGCATGTATATACTTTAAGAACTGGTAGGAGAGCTTCACATCTAGACCAGAAAGGCCATTTGTTCTCATGTGTCAACAATTTCAATTTGCTAAGCCGCTATTGTGTGCAGGACACTATGTTACCCACTCAGATAACAAATGTTAAACAATGCAATCACTGCCCTCCAGGAGCTTACAAGCTAGTAGGGGAGATATGCACACTAATAATTTAATATAATATGATCAACAGCATTAGAGAGTGTAGAGTGGCCTGAGAGATTCAAGGAGGGATGAATCATTTCTAAGTGGAAGGCATCATGGAAGAGGTGGCATTTTGAAGAAGGAATTCAAAATGGAGAGGCGAAGAATGGAGAAGTCCATTCCAGGTGTGGCAGAGAGCATGCATATTTGCAGAGATAGGAGAGGGTAGGATGAGACTAGAGAACAGCAAATTGACCAGTTTGTTTGGAGCACAAAAAAAAAATGCAAATAGTAGTGCATGAAATAAAGTAGAAAACAGATGATAAATTATGGAGCAATTCAAATGCTAGGCTAAGGAGTTTATATTTTATTCTTTAGGCAGTGTAAAACAAATGAAGGTTTTTCCAGTTGTGACATAATCAGACCCACATATTACTATCCCCATTTTACAGATAAGAAATATGAAGCTCAGGTGAGTTGGTTTTGCCCATGAATACATAACTAATAAGTATTAAGAGGCAGGATTCCAGACCTAGGTCTGCTCTAGTTCCAAGATCATCACTCTTTCCATTATTGCCCTCAGCCTTTTTTTGAGGGGTGGGGGCATAACACCTTAGAGTAGTTGGATTTCTATGACACGCTCTTGCTCTTCTCCAAAGGGCTGTATGACCTATTTTCTTTTTTAATTAAAGTGAATTAAAATTGCAAGCTTTTGAGAATTTCATGAAATCCCTTGAGATTACTACTGAGACCCTGGAGTGTTGCAAAAGTAGGGCTGGGAGCCACTGCTAAAAGAATGGAACATTTCTTATTTTTTCGGTTAGTCAGATGTTTATGGGAGGTAAGAAAGGGTAACAGGCTTGTGCTGAACCATTTGTGAAACTCAAGAAAGAGGCAAGTTATTTTTCTTTTAATGCTGAATGGGCATTAAAACTGAACTTTTCAAGTCCAAAGGTCGTCTGCTTGGAAACTGTTATAAAAACTAGTAACATTGGAATTCCTAAAAACTATGCAATGACGCATAAATGAAAAAGCCCACAGTTGAAAGTTAATAGCCATTAGCAGAATTTGATAAAGCTTCTTGATTATTTTCTTTAAAATGTAAAGAAAAAAAAACCAAAAAGGCAAACAGTTCTGTTTAGTTTAGGCCAAGGACAGGCACTCTAGCACAATGTGGAGTGCTTTCTCAATAATCTAGCTGGTCCTAACAGTGCCTCCCTCCCAGAGTCCCTTAGTGCTATGAATTGCTCCTATCCTAAGCCTGCAACCATTACCTCAACTAAGGTGATGCCACTGAGGTCTAAGTCTCCTTTGGAGTGTGGAAACAAACAAATTCTGTCTAGAAATCAATCAACTCTCATTTACACTTGGTGTGGGTCTGTGGTAATGTAAAATCTGGGAGTAGGAGGCTGCGGAATGGGATTGAGGGGGAGAGTTGGAGCCTGGCCCTTTGCCCTCTACCTTTTTTTCACTTATTCACCTGGAACAAATCCCAACAGCCGCTTCTACCACTAGTACTTTAAAGCCATGTAACTTGACAACAGTCCTGGCAGGCCAGAGGGTTCATTTAATCTAATCACACTAGATAGGAAGAATAGCCTGGTTTCCTCTTTAAGAAATGCCAGTCAGTTCTCTTTTCTGAAGGTCCACATAGAAAAAGCAGTGGCACTCAAGAAGCTAACTGATGGCAACAACCTTGCCTTTCTGGACAGCTCCCCTACAGACAGATGAAAGTCTCAAACACTGAGCCTCTGGTAATGACATAAAATTTCATTATTTTTTATTTGAAACCTATGGCTTGCCAAATGTGGTCACTGATCATCTTTCAATCTCTTGTTCCTGGGCAAGGAGGTCAGTTTTAGTTGAAAGAACAAGTATAGGGATTTACCTAGGGAACTGAGTAACTGTGCTATGCATCTAATTTGAGATAATTCCACAGTGATAACTTCAGTATAATATAACCATTGTTACAGTGAGGTAGAAAAATAATTAAAATAACAGCAAAATTTTTTTCATGATATGCTTCCTGCCAGGAACCTTCAACAACACTCAAGTTTTCCTTCAGAACCTGGCTGAAGACAAATCTTTTTTTTTCTTTGTTTTTTATTTATTTTTGGGTGAGGCAATCCAGGTTAAGTGACTTGCCCAGGGTCACACAGCTAGTAAGTGCCAAGTATCTGAGGCTACATTTGAACTCGGGTCTTCCTGACTCCAAGACTGGAGCTCTATTCACTGCGCCACCCAGTTGCCCTGACAAATCTTTTTCTTTAAAAAAGGTGAAACTAAATAGGAAAATCTTGCACAAAAACATCAAACTTCACTTCAAAAAGGTGAGGAGGATGAAATGAATTTAAGGTCACTGACATCTTTTCCCCATGTTTATGTACTGGAGAACAATAGTTCTCTTCAAAGAGATAATTTAAGCTTCTATAAATTAACCACCTTATCTTCTCCCATCCCCAATCTAAAACTATACTTCAGGATCATGCTTTACAAAATTTTTATTAGAAACATCAATGATTGCTGCTTTTACTCAGCAGAAAAGTAATTCAGAAAATCTTCACTTTAAACTTTCAAAACACCTATTTTCTCTAGTATAAAGTGAAAATGAAGTCTCTTAGTAAGCCATCTTTTGTGGCAGACTCAAAAAAACCTCAATTAAAAAAAACCTAATTTTAAAAAACCCTCCATGTAAAATCTGATCACAGTCTATGACTAGCCCTTCTTTTACTTTAAATATGACATCTGAGGAACCTTCATTCCTCACTAGATCATCCACTCCCAACCACAGGACTTTTGAAACTGATTTTAAAAAGCAAAAGAGGTCTTTCACTTCAAAATCCTTTAAAAAAATTTTTTTATCATAAAACAAAACAAAAATACAGCCAGAGCACTTCTTTTCAGTGTGAGACAGTATACTTTTACAACCCATAATTATAGGTTACGTTAACAGGCAAGCACACATGCCATTGGGCTCCTGAAAGAGTATTTCCATTTAGCCTTTAGAGGAAGCAACAGATTAAGGAATAGTTAGCACCCCCTCCCCCCATCCCCAAAACATACTGAAACAAAAGACTGATCTGTTTACATAGTCACATGAAAAATAAACATCTTTATTTTTGCCTACTTTATTTCATTTTTCAAATAAAATTTAAATCTGTACAAAGTATACTGTTACAGTATATATTTTGTAAGAATCAAAATGCCTAAAATAATCACAATACTTCAATAAGCAGTACAGTAGAACCTTGCTAGTTTCCATTTTGATATTCCACAAACTCTCAGAGTCATTTGACTCATGAGCTATCTGCCATATTTTCATATTTTGAGTTCTCAACAATGGGATGGACATGCATGGCAGCAAATTAGGGTTACATTACATTCCAAAACATTGCTTTTTCATTACACAACAATTGCATTTGTTTAATACAGAATCCTTGAATTTGGTTTTAAAATTGCATTTACTTACTTTTTAATTGGCAAAATTCAAGTACCCTCAAAGGGCTACCCAATCAGTGCAAATTAATGATATTCTACTGTATATTGGCACATCTCCAATTAAGACTAACTTGTAAACTCAAATATCAACACCTCTGCTCTAAAGCCTTTAACATACTTCTGGTCCTTACAACCAAAGTCACTTTGTAAAGACAATAAAGACAACTCTACTTCTGAAAGGATATTGATTTGACTTTTTTTTTTTAGTGGAGAATTTTTAAAATTAAGTCATTAAAATTTTCACTATAAAAAGTTTACAAATATGATTAGAAATGTCAAGGTTCTGATTCACAGCAGACTGATACAAACTTTATATTCCAACAATTCTTATTCTTGAACTTTCAAATAACAGCACAACTATGTTAGCTGTATTAACATTTTGGAATAGTTGTACTAAATTTATAAGTGGTACTGGTCTAGCAAGCATAAGTACACAGTATATTTCAATGAAAAGAATTGTCTTTATAATATTTTATTTCTTTTCCCAAAAGGAAACATTAATGTTTACATTCTTTAATAAAGTTAATCTTACATCAGAATATAACTTAATACTGTCTGCAACAGGAACAACATACAGTAAATATGAAGCACATTTAAAATAAGTCTGAATTCACATAGATTAACATCTGTTGGTTAATAAAATATCGACAGTATTACAATCTTACAATATTTACAATAAGAAAAATCTAGAGTAATATATACCTTTCACAGCAGGATTTTTGTTTTTTCCAGTTTGGGATTGTGCATACACAAAAAGCTCAAAATAAAGCAATTTTGCGACTTACTCTTAAAATAACAACTAGAGGAAAGAGCTATTACAACCATTAAAAATAATGGCGTGTTCTCATTGTGTCTGTGGCATCCAAGGATCTAGCTAGTCATGTTCAAACTACCCAAGGATACCACCACAGCCTGTTACTCAGGTGCTGCTCAACTCAGGATCTCCCTGACAAAGAATTGAACAAGTATTTTTCCCACACATACACCATGAACAAAAGGAGGAAAAGTAGATTTCAGCTCACACTTTACAGCTGGAATACTCCAGTAGCCACGGATTACAAACTTGGCCTAGAAGAAATTCAATTTAACCACACAGCAATTACAAGAGTCAACTACCCAAAGAACTTAGAACATTTTATAAACATGAACTTTTGAGGCCTCACAACATCCCTGTGAGGTAGGTTAAAGGATTAACATCATCAAGTTAGTACATGCAGGCATCTCAGACTTGGGTGGGGAGGAATGGGAAATAGCAGTTCAACCCACACTGTGTTCATCCAGATTGGCTGGGAAGTGATGAACATTTCCATTGAAAACGAGATGGAATACCCATTTGTCTGAGCTGGAATTTGGCTAGGGCACTAGAGTTAACACCTTCCTCTCAAAATGCCACAAGCCTTCAGGATGTGGGCTCCATGCCTCTTCAAGAGAAAGTACCTGCAGCAACATCATGCAGGATATAAGTTCAGTACTAACTCAAGGAAAGCAGGTACAGCTCTTTATAAGACTCTACAGGACCTGAAGTCACCCATCCAAGTAATGACCTGATCCAACCCTGTTTTGAGATCTAATTCCAGGGATAAGGGTTTCAGGCCACTTTGGACTAAAGATCTGACAGGCAAATCAACAGGTATCTGTGGATTAAATTAGTAAATTGTATCATACTCCTTAAATGGATAGTTTTGTCAGAAACTATCAAAGTGTGAGTCTTCTTATGTCAGGTAAGATTGTTTCTCAGATCCTTAGGCTAAGATGCAGAATGTTTTGTTTTGTTTTTTCCACAATGCAAGCTATCAGTGTATTCACTTCATTCAAGCTGGATTGGCTGGCAAACCAGATTGATTTATTTAGTTGGTTTTGCTTGTTTCTTACAAATATGCTAGCCCAGAGCTGCTGTATTTAAGTTAAACACATTTCAAGAGAACATTCTAACAATTTTTCCCCAGTGAATTTCAAGTAATGACTACATTTCAATGATAATACTCTGCAAGTCATTACAAGACCTAAAGTCTCCCTACCTGAAAAAGTCCAAATGTTTAAATGTTGAATGTTGCTTCTATATTGGTCCTATACAGAATCATTTCTATATAGGTTCTGAATGTTGCTCTACATAGATTCCTTCTAAATATGTAAAAATATATATGTGTCTCATTTTTGATACATGATTCATCTTCCCATAGTGGAAGCTTTATAGTCATGTGTTGCAAAATAGAAAAACATCTCCTTCCTATGAAAGGAAATTTAGTTTCCTATTGTACACTTTTGAATAAGCCCAAGGGCATGCCCCAAAATTCTGTAATAAAACTAATACACTAGAACGGTGTATAGTTAGACTCAAAGTACTGTTTCTCATAAGCTTCTAAATTGGGAGGAAACAATTTGTCGGATGCCTGTCCTATTAGATGTGTTTCTATAATTTCTAGGTTTTTTTTTTTAAACTCAGAAGGTAAACTAAAGATACATATAAACATACATACATAAACACATGTATAAATAGTTAAAGTGTTTGCATTTAACATGGGGGAGAAGAAATATTAGCCAGTCTGATAAACTTGGCTCTTGGTCTCAAGTGTAAACCCAATACTCACTGATAAAAGTTGCCAACACAAAGACAGCCAAATAAGTGTTACTCATAAATACTGGTTTAGATAGAGAAGAAACAATGTATTTTTTGTTCCACACAACCTCTCAATAGTAATACAAGTCTCCCTCACTTCACAGAATAGCTGTGTTCTGGCAAAGCAAGTATAAAGCAAATTCTATTTTACTACTGACACATACCATAAATTGGCATTTTTATTGGGGAATATATCCTCCAAACTTAACTGCAACTTTTGATAACAGTGCCAACTTATGAAAACAACCATTTTCCTAGCATACCAAGCAACTCTGTACATTAGAATTCATACCTACTAAGAGTATTCATCCAGTTGTTTACTTTTCTAACTCTAGGATTATCAGTCTACATTATTCACTCTCTCCTCTGCCCTAAAACAAAGGAATTCTTTATATGTCCAGGCAGTTTCCCGATTCCATACTCTCAGCATCCAGAACTTTGTTTCATTCTTTCTTTTGTCTGGCTATTTGTCCTGTCTAAAAGACCAGGGTTGCAATGTCACTTTTTGCCAGTAGGTGCCACCACCTTTCACCTATAGTCTATTCCAATCTGAAACCTGATTGCAAAGTTTTAGATTATGTAAAGTGAATTAGCTCTATACTTTATCAAGTGTGAATATATATGTGTACATATACATTTTAAATTTGCATATGAAATTTACTTAAAGGGCATCTATAGCTAATTTTATATTAGCAAATGGAAGAATCGTAAAAGTCCTTAAATCCTGTTTCAAACTGCTGGTTCCCTCTTGCTCATATTTGGTAAATAAACGCTCTGAATCATTACAGTTCAGCTTGCTAAAGGAAAATCCATGTATTAACTTGTAGATAAACTTAAAACCTTAAAAATCAAAAGTACTAATTTTACCCCTATGTATGGCGGCATAATCTCAAAAAAAAAAGAAAGATTGTTTGGAGACAGAATCTTTTCAAATCTTCTAAAGGAAATACATAGGGATAATAAAGAACACCATCCCAATTCCCATATAGTTTTGAAATTTGGTAGTTATGAATGTAAACAACCCTAATTACAAGAGTCTTTAACCTACAATATTGCACTGAACCTCTTTTAAAGAACTTTCTGAGACAAATAAATGCATATTTGTTAACTTAATTACTCTATATTAGCCCATATTTAGATGAGCTAACTGGTACAATTCCACAAGACAAATACAAAATCTTAACAATGGAAGTTTAACTTTTCTGACAAAAGTTAAATAGAAAGATAACAAAGTTCCAACGTAGAGTCAAACCCACAAAAACACTCATCATACAGAAAACTACTTAAGAACACATTTTACCTTTCAACAGTATTTGCAAACATAAAGTCAAGAATGACTAGAAAAACTATGCAGTAGAAGAGCATGTCAAGAATAAAAACCCCCTCCTCTCACTGAAACACACACTCAAGCCTTCCAAAAATAAATCAGGCCCAAAGAAAGGCCTCTCACTTGTTGAGTTTCAAGTCTGACATGCCTAAAAAGCTATAGGAAAGGGAACATAGGATCAATCACTAAATAATTTTACGCTAAAAAAAAACCTCATGTATTATTTTGTTCTACTGACAACAGCCATTGATTACCTTTTTCAATACCAACTATAATGCACAATCTAACTGCCAATAGGAGAAAAGGTCTAATGTGTCAACTTCTTCATCTTTAAAGTTACAAGAACACTTCTTTCTGGTTAAAATAAAGCCTTTTCATGTATTACACCCACCCTACTCCCCAAAAAGCCACCACAGAATTCCTTAAGTGAATTCATATAATAAGATGGTTGTCATTCTAACCATATCAGATGGGTCATAAGAAAATCTATTGACAATTTAAAAAAACAAAGCTTATTGACAACTCACCAGACCTCTTCCTTTTAAACAAGTTTAGTGGTCAAAACATACACAGAAAGAATCCAAACAGAGCTCCTTGTGCTGAAATCTGGATTTTAAAGACAGCATTTCATATATTTTCCAAGTTTTTCATTTTGCATATTTATATACAGGTCACATAAAGCACACATTTTCAAAGGGTTTTGTTGGCAACTGTCATATTTTAAGTGGAATCAAAATGAGATTTGGTTTTACACAGCTATAAAATATTTCTTGACTTTTGTTAAGCATGCCTAATTGTAATTATGTTTTTCATTTGGGTGAGATATGAAAAACAATTCAGGATTCTGCTGATGACCAGGAAATTGGAAACACCTAGAAACAAAAGTGAAAACAACTTATCTATTTTCATTTTCAAAGAGAAAGGAAATACAAAGTAGTGCAAAATGGAAACCTTTTAGGCAACTTTGCAGACTTTGCCCTGAGACTGACAGTTTTTACACTGGCAATATTATGCATAACCACAACTGCCTGCAGAAAGCCAGCTTCCATTCATTTCTTTGCACAACACTAGAGGAAGCCTTGGAAAGACTTTGGCCTAGTCATTTAAATCAATAATAAACATCAGCTCAGAAATACATTTATTTTTAAATATATAATTGTTAAACTGAAGGGCCATTTAAGAAGGTCATATGCCTACTAAAAAAATTATAATTTTAAACTATAGCATAATTTTAAATGACTTACTATAAAATTTAGATATTATACTATATTTCAGTGCCAACTCTATCAATAAGTTATAATAAAAGAAATACAATTGTTAACATAATTGAAATATCTGACTTTAAAAAATTTTATCTTCCAGGTAGAAATTATGAATTCCCTTCACTTAGACATTTTATAGCAATAATGTAAGATATTTGTCTAAAATTAAGTAGATCTGAAAGAGGGCTATCAAAATGTACGCATTTGACTGGAACCAAAATAATACTGTATAATTTTTATGATAAATGTTTCTTATACTAATTCAAAATCAGGAAACTTTCTAAAAGTTAACTAAAATATAAAGCATCATTGGCTTAGGCAAAGCAGAAAGCCAAATACCATCAGCTGATCCTGCAAAAGGGCATAAGATCTTTTGGAAAATATAATAAGTGTTAACATACTCCTCACCATAGAAACGATTAGGAATTCTGTACTTTTAAAGCATTACAATGAATAACTGAAGAAAAAAAAGCTGACAAAGATATGTGAGCTAAATCTGCTAAGTCATACTTCAGATATGTTATCAAGAGCCTCATATGAAATGTAGTTAATTTGTTGCCATGCTTACGACTACTGAAAGAAATATAAAAAGATACCTCAAGTTGCAATTTAGTGATAGCCACTTCACCTGGATTTAAAATTTTATTTGCTCTTTAAACAAGGTGCAGTGGAGGGAGTGAAATGGGGAGGAGCTAAGAGAGGAAGAACTGGCTTCAGGAGCTAAAAGCATCTAAAAACTTATTTGAAAACTATCAGGTTGTAATATGGTCCTAATACTTACAGTAGACATTATACAGACATCTGCTTTTGAAAACTGGTTTTAAAATCGTTAGGAATTTGGGAATATCTGATATTTTCCCTCGGAATAATGAAGCCCCATTAGTTTTGGATGAGCCCAATAATGCCAATTCCATAATCCTTGGGTTTTAAATTGTTCCATAACATGCCACCTATACATAAGCAGACCAAATGAACTTAATGCATCATCCTAAGACCCAGAAAGATGGAAGATCATCACTTCCCACAGAACAAATTAAGTAATTCTTTGACTTTCCAGAAACATCCCTAGCGCTGTCATTCACCATCCTTAGCAAATAACTCAATTCAAGCACCCATCTTAGCACCTCTTATTACATCCAATTACAACCAATCTTCCCTACTTTCAATCCATTTTTCCTTGTATCACTCACATCTCCTTTCACAAATTCCTTGAACAGCATTCCAATTTCCAAACCATTAACAACAGCTTCAATGACCTTTCTAATGTATACATACGTTTTACTATCTTTTAATTCACAAATTTCTCAGCACAAGACTTCAATATCTTTTTAACTAAAATATAAAATTCCAGGAAAAAAAAAGTCAGGTAAGAATGCTGAGCTTAAACTGCATAGCATATGGCTTCTTCTTGACCATGATATTGGCTATGCTGTGGGAACAACGGTCAGCAATCTCTTTAGAACCAAGTTCCTCTAACATAGCAAGTATGGATGTCACTGAGAGGTGGAAGGCCTAAGAAGGGGAAAAGAATTCGAAGTATCAAGTGGCAGAATAGAATATAAAAGAGGGAAAGCAAAGGAGAAAAAAAAAATCAGATAACTATGGTGTAAAGTGGCAGAGTTCCATAGGAATCAGTGGTTTCTAACTTCTGCTCTAGAGCATTCTGGTGCCAACCACCAGACCAGTTAGTTATGATCATTGCTTGAAATAATCAGAATAGATGACAATCAAATTATCCTCTACAAAAGAAGGGGAGAAGGGTATCATAAGGATATATTTGCTCCCATCTTGTTTCTGACTCATCATGTAGCATCCTGAATGTAACTCATGTTCAACAATAAGCATTTAAGTGCCTACTATGCACAAAACACTCTGCTAGGGGCTATGTTAACAAGTATTTTTCTACATATTCCTGTGGAGATCACATAATTGCCCAATAATATCCTTAATGGCAGAACTTTATGGCCTCCTGAAACATCAAATCAAGCCAAATTAAGAATGTAATAATGATTTACTACTGCTTTTTTTTCTAGCACATGAAATGCTGCTAAAATTTACCTTACTATATAGGAGGTTACTAATGTATATCAAAACAGAGAGAATCTGGACATGAAAACCGTTTTGAACTCCTAAATTTTGAATGGTACAACATTCCAATCATTAGGAAGTAACTTTATTCTACAGAATACAAAGAAAAAAGTATACACTAAATAACATGGCCACCATCAATAATCTGTATTTCCACATATTAAGGAAGAACTCTTTGACACGGTACCTGCCCTGTACTCAACATTCCTACAGAGACATAGTCACTTAGGCCACCATCTATTCAATACCAAAACTTGCTAATTTGTCTCAAATTGTTGGATTACTAAATCGACTGGTGTTTTCACTTTTCAACTGACTTCTGTTGGTATTATGAAGGCATTGCTTCATTTATATTAATATCATGGGAAGGTTTGATGTTCATCCTATTCTTTATAGTTAGGATAACATCCTCTAAAGTGATGACAATGTAGGAGTTATGGTCAAAAAAGGACCTTTTTTGTGACTGAGGACTTAAACTTAGGGACGTTTTAGGATCTAACAGGTTCTCAAACAGTAAAATTAGATTTTACATACACACACACACACACACACACACATCCCTATTACTCATATCCTGCCATAATGGCATGCAATGAAAACAACAGTGATACAGTGAATGAAACAAGAATAAGGGTAATAATTACTACTGTTTACCAGTACATGCTGAGTGAACTATCAAAATTCAATCAACAGAAAATTAAAGTATCAAAAAATCTCTCTTAAGGTTTCATCTTCAATCTAACAACTTTGTCAACAAAAAACTGCAAAAACCACCTTGCTGAATTCTTTATTTTAAAAACTGCTTAACCAGATATTTTTAGTTTCTACTTACTTTACTCTCCAAAGTGATCACATCTCAACTATATTTATTATATTAAAGAATTGCCGTCAAATGTCCAAAATATTAGTAATTGAAAATATGACCTTGTTTTAGCATTCTTGTACATCAATGTCAGGATTTTATACCCATTCCAAAAGTTTTGGGAAATGATGAGAATAAGTCATCAGATTTGGTATATTACTTCTAACTTAGGAAAGAAAAGCTTACATTTGTTCACATGTAAAAAGAAGACTATTAATGGCATGAATGCAATGCTATCAGGCAGTTATACAGGTCTTTTTATACAATCATTCACAGTATGAAAGGTATAAGTACATATATGTATATAAGCATACATACACACACGTGAAGCATAAAAAAGAAAAGATGGAATGTATCAGAAGAGAAAAATGCATAGAATGTAAAAACAATCATGGCTATAGTGGGATTGACATGGCTGGCAAAAAAAAAAAAAGTCCGTATCTTAAAACGAAAGTCTCTTAAGTTTGAAGCTATGACAGTAATAAAATACAAAACAGTATGAAAACAAAAAGCAAAAAATCCATAAGCATCAAATTTGGTGGGAAAACATTAAGCAAAAAGGATATTAATAAAAATGCGTTTCTTATGATCAACCAAATCTTCACTGACTTAACGATACAAGGTGCATGGTCATGAAAATCACCCAGATTTTTAATATTTGTATTAAATCAGTTGTCTCCCTCCCATCCACCCAGATTCAGTTCATGTTTCCTGCAGAAGTATAACACCACTGCATTAGAAAGTACAAGAAATGAAAACAGTGAGTACAACTGATTATCGATCCATTGACTTTTATTACAAATGTACTTGATCACTTGGCTTCAAAAAGTTTAAATCAATACCCTATTTTCTGTATGCTAGTACAAAGCAGACTGTTTTACAAATTAAATACCTAAAAATTTGACAAAAATATTAAAATTTGATGAAAAACAATTATAAAAATCCTTAATCTCTCTTTTTAAGAAAGGAGGCAATCTTCTCCAGACCTGTTATACAATATTAATGTTGACAATTTTTAGACTAGGTAGCTAAGTCATATTTTGTTGTTAGCATACATAGTTCTTGGACTAATAGTTTTTATTGGTATATAATTCAGTTAGCTTCCTGAATGCCACCTGATTGAAATGTAATCAACTATCTTTAATTTAATCCTAATTTACACTTACTTTGCATAGTTTGCAAGGGATAAATATTACACTATAACTAATAGTGTTGTTATAGTGCTATTTTTAAAAAGGCAACAATGTACTTGTTCCCAAATAAAAATAACTGTCTACTTTGGATAAGGGAAGGGTTAAAATTACTAGCAGCCTTCTGCATACCTGAAAAAACAAATCAAGATAGTAATCCATTTTTACTACAGCAACTCTATTCTTTAGAAAAGTATTTGTAAAATCTTGAAAACAAAACAAAACAAAATACTGCTAAAACTTATACTTTAGTTAAACTTCAATCCCTTTCAGGGAAAAATAAAAAGTGACACTGTCAAGGATTTTTGTTGGTATGTTTTGGTTTAGAAACTCCATGGCTTTTGAAAAGCTAGAAAACAATATTCTTTCTCTCTTATTGTTTCTTTCTATTTGGCAAATATTCATCTATCCTCCAATCTGTATTTTATAGAGTAAAAGCCAACATGGCTTTTCTTAGGAACTTCCTTTGTTGTGAAAAAGTATGTATAATGATTTCTGTACAGTTCTGGTTAGTTAACTTTAGCTCCCTCTGTGGCTGGATGACTGCTGCTTGTAACTTCAGCATGAAAAATATGAGGCACAAATCAACAGTGGCTTTTAAAATAAAAGATTAAACACCACCACCACCACCACCATCATCACCACCATAACCACCATCACCACCACTATCACTACCACAACCACCGACACCACAATTGGTATTTAAATCTGGTGGCTATTTTCCTCTGGGTTGAATTACTTGACAGTGTCTCATTTTAAAGAATGTCAATATTGCAATGAATTTCAAGTTTTCTTTCATACTCAGGCAAATATAATTTGACTAAGCTATTGGACCATTATAAGACAAAGCAGATCATTAAGGAAAATAAGGCAATACTTGTCAGGAATTGGTTTTGTTTTCTGTTGGGCTTTTTCCCCCCCTTTGGCACATTTGATCATACTGTCTTCTATGAGTAACATATATGGTCAAACATACCAATGCCTTTATTGTTCTAGTATAAACAGGGTTACCATTTCAAGAAAAACAAAAGAAACAACTTTCAGCTGCAAAACACTGAGATACTGAACCTTAGTAAGGTACCGAGCACCTGGGGTTGGGGGTTGGGGAGGGAACAAGGATAAACCCATGCAACAAGAGCATCTTTACAGTCATCTATCTTCTCCATGGTCACCACGTAAATCTTAGTATATCTATATGTGGATTCAAACAAAAATCCGCTGACTGCAAATCAGACACTGTGCACAAAAACTTGCTAAGATTGTGTTCAATCAACTCTTATAGCATAACTAGAATTGCACAACCCATATACTTCTATCTGGTCCAATTCCAAAACAGAATCTGAAATCTATAGTCAAGGCTTCCCTTTAGGTAATTCTGACCCTAAAGAAAATCTTGTGAAAGAACTATCTTCTCCATGGTGAGAAAGGTCACTTTGCCTAAATTTGACTTGGTTTTGTTGACGTGCACTACTTACTGCTGGCAATTATAAAACACTGATCTAGAAGTATTGCAACCACCTGTGATACAATGCTTAACTTTTTAGACCTACAGTAAACCAGAAACAAAAGTCAAAGCAAATCACTTTTCGAACTAGAAACAGCACAGACAATGCAATCTTTTCCATATCACAGTTAAAGTACAGTGAACAAAACTGCTCAACAAACTTTCAAACAACAACAAAAAAATCCCAGGTCATTAATCAATGTTTACATGCAGGTGAAAAGCATTCCAAAAGACTCACATTATGTACTGTCAAAGCCTAATTCTACTATTTGGAAATAAGAAAAATGCATCTTGGGGAGAAAAAAAGCAATTTAATAATTTCCAGTGATTTTTTAAGTAAAAGAAACTCCTAACTACTGTAAGGTCATATCATATTTAACATTGCATGAATACTAAAAGCAAATTATTTAAAAGAGAAATGCACAGTACAATGGAAATAGCTTGTTTATCCAACAAATACAGTAGATCTCAAAAACAAGGAAAAAACACAACCAGGGAACTTTAAAAATATAAAAATAAAACCAAATGAACCAGCAGAAAAGTTACTTTAGACAACTTTTTCACCTTCCTAGGCCAATGCTTTACAATCATTGAGAAGCACAGATACCTTCCTGTTCCTACAGGTGGTGTCTTCTATATACAGCAGTTAGATCTACATGGTTAGGTTTGTCAAGAAACAAATTATTTCATCCCCAGAACTTTGAGTCAGACAAGATTCTCCATTTACTTAAATGCTTTCTACAGAATTCTGAACAAAAATGTACTGTTTAAGGCATCTTTTTTATAACATTTTCTCTTCACTCAATGATGATAGTCATGCAGCAGTTTAATGATAAAAATATATTAATATTTTACTATACAGCAGCAAGAAGTTAGTTGTCAATTAAAAGCACACAAACATCTTTAAAGGAAAACCTGTAAAAGTCTATAGTTACAAATAACTTCAGTTTGGAGGACAACAGCTGACAAATCAGTGCTCTCCTAAGTTCTGCATTTTCATACCCTACACCTTGAATATAAGAGTTACAAGAACAAACTTGATAGGAGGCTTGTACACTTGGGGTCACAAATACACTTAGAATATAATGTAGCCAGTAATAACTAGCACCACAGCTACATGGAAATCCTTTACATACACCAACTTGGCTTTCACTTTTATATGAAACTCAAAATCCATGGCTCAGTAGGATAACTCTATAATTGTGTTGCACTGGTTTCTAACAGGCCTACATAAATTAATAGCACTGGCATAAATCAAAGGATAGCTTCAGACCTCTTGCAAGTTTAGGAAACAGTGCTAGTGTCAGTGACCACACAAAGACTCACTACCTGTTGTCCAAATACAGGTTCACTGGAAATTGCTGCACATAAGGTAAGTACTTTAAGTCTTTCTACACATAATAAAAAAAATATATTATGAACAATACAAGTACATCTCATATACACAATAATGACAATACGCCTACTTAGTTGTAAACCAAACAGGAGCAGAAAAATATTATGGGAGGAGATATTCTTTTTTTCTTTTTTCTTTTTTTACTATTTGAATAACTTTGGTTCAAACCGTAAAAATCACAACTTAGCAAATTTCATTTAAATGCCTTTTTTAATAATTTTCTTCATGTTCACAGAAGTTTCACTGACCATTTTATATGTTTAAGGTCCAGATGCAATGCATATTGTATAAAAGAGAGCACTTATTGTTTACCTTGCATGAATTAAACCTACGTACCTTTAACTCTACAAACTTCTGCATAACATTTAGACAAAGCTCAGACACAAAGCATGCCTAGCCCTCATATATATACACATCTCTAATCACAGGTATATAGGGTGTCAAATATACTATAATAACCTCCATGTAAGGTTTGAAATTTGGTAACAAAATGAGAAGAAAAAACTAAAAATATTATTTTACGTGTTCTAAAATATCTCTTTTTTTGTGCTAAAGTCAAATGTTAGCTCAACATGAAAAGGACTTTTTTTAATATAATTCAGCAATATTATAATCTTGACCATTTTGCAAACACTTTTAATAATAATAGCTTAAACGTGTACAAAAGTTCTTGGTTAATTAGGGAAATAAACACTCAGTTCTTTATATTTTTTAATCAAGTAGGAAACACAGTTCATATATAATGTTATTACTTTTTTGTTTTTTTTTGTTTTGTTTTAGCAGCTGCTTACTGTTTTATATGGTGGATAAAGTGGACAACATCCAGCGATGGGTGGCAAGTCAAGAAGAGAAACTGTCAGTTGGTGGAGGTTCGGTGGGTGGTGGGTGCTCCCTTGGAGTTAACAGTTACATTTTTTTTTAACATTTTTTAAATTTTATTTTCTCTCTTTCTTTATAGTATAGTTTTTTTCCTCTCTGTTTGTGTGTGTATGTGTGTTTATGTTTTTTACAGTTTGATCAATCTTCCTCCCCCTCCTCCTCCCCCTGCAGCAGCAGGGTTGCTGCTGCTGTATCCTCCTGCTGTTGCTGCTGCTGCTGGTGGAGCTGCTCGCAGGCAGCCCGCTTCTCCCTCTGCTTCTCCTGGATCTTCTTCATCTCCTCGGAGTACTTGCAGAAGGTATGGCCGAACTTGGCCCACACTTTATAGGGGACAGTGATGGAGTTGCGGTAGGTGGGCTTCACCTCGCTCACCCGCATGAACACCCCGTACTTGTTAGAGCCCACGTCGAAGAAGAAACGCTTGTTGTCCACAGTCAAGGAGGTGCCCTCGGGCAGCTCGGCCGGCTCCTCCTCCACGCCATAGTCGTCGATGAGCTTGGCCAGGGCGTCACGGAACTCGATGAGCCCCTGGGCCGGCAGGGCGATGGTCTGGCCCTGCGTGGAGCCCAGGCCGGGCCCCCGGTTGACCGTCTGGCGGATGCGGAGAAAGCGGCCCCGCTGGTTCTCCTTGAGATCCATGTAGTACTTGCGGTTCTCCCGCACCAGGAACTCGCTCTTGAGCGCCCGGCGCGGCTCATCCTGCGCCTGGGCCAGGTCCGGGGGCTGGCTGGGGCCCAGCTGCGCGTAGTGCTCGATGAAGTCGCCCAGGTAGTCACGGAACTCCACGGCCACCGACATGGAGAGCGTGAGGCGGCTCTTGTTGCCCCCAGCGCCCACCTCGGCGATCTTCAGGAAGCGGCCCTTGGCATTCTGCTTCACGTCCAGGTAGAAGCGCTTGTTCTGGATGTCCACCCGCTTGGAGGCCAGCTCCTGGGTCTCATGCTGCAGCCCCCCCGGGGCCCCGCCGCCGCCCCCCGCCGCCGCCGCCCCCGCCGCCGCCCGAGCCAGAGCCCGGGTGCCCCAGGGAGCCGCCGGAACCCAGCGCCGCTCCGCTTTGCTCGCTGCCACTGTCTCGGTCCGCCATGATGCTGCCGCTCAGCCGGCCGCCCGCCGCCGCCGCTCCGCCTGCCGCCGCCGCCGCTGCCTTCCCTTCCCCCGGCTCCGCCTGCCGCCGCCGCCGCTGCTGCTGCAACCCCCACAGCCAGCCAGCCGATCTCGCGAGATCTGAGGGAAAAGAGACGAGACAGACGAGACCCGGTAACAGGGCACTGACTCCCCGAGTACAGTAACAGGGCGCCCTACTGTACGGCGCCCGGCACGTGACCCCCCGCGCGCTCGCTAGCGCTCACTCCCCCCTTCATATCCCCCCCACCCCGCCCCCAGCCTGCGAGGCAGCGCCCACCCCCCCAGCACCCGGGTCCGGGGGGGGGGGAAGAGGAGGGAGAGGGAGAGGAGGAGGGAGCTGGGACGCGTCGTCGCCGCCGCCGGGCTGGACCCCTCCGCCGCCACAGCCCGCAGGGGAAGGGGGGGTAGGGGGAGCTGCCACCATCCGCAGAGGGGGGGGGAATAAGGCTTCAAATAGGTCAGCGCCGGTTCCGACGTCCGTCGGGGCCCAGGAGACCCGGGAGCGGCCTCCCCGGGGCCTGCGCAGCCACCTGGGGGGAGTGGGAGAGAGCCCGAGGCAAGGCCATTCCCCTGATTTCCCCATCCTCCCAATCTAAAGTGGGGTGAAGGGGACAGGCCCCGCTCCGGGTTCTCCTACCGCAGAGCCCTGGCCCCGGAGGCGGGAGACCGCAGGAGGATGAGGAGCCGCCCGGCCTCCCGGAGATAGAGCAGAGGCCGCCAGCGGAGCAGCAGACACCTTGCCTGTCCCTCCCTCTGTCTCTCCCCCTCCCTCTCTCTCTCTCTCTCTCCCTCTCTCCCTCCCTCCTCCCCCTCCCCGCGCACGGCAGCGGCTCTGGCCTCAGATGATCCCGCTCCCCCTCCCCCCAACCGCAGCCCCGCACCGCCCAGTGCACCCGGGTGGGGGCACTAAGGGAAGAGAAGGAGAGGCCGGAGTCGAACTGCTGAGGGCGCTTACAGGTCCTCATCTCCTCTCCTTTGCCCCCCCCCAAATCCTACCGAACCACAGTAAGTTGCAACCAGCCCCTTATAGGACAGCATTGCACATCCCCCCCCCACCTCCATCAGCCCGGGGAAGGGGGGCATTAGGCTCATGGGTTGGCTCAGCTTAGGTTGCAGACCAGCTATGCAGCAAAACCAGGGTACCCAGCCATCAAACCCAGGAAAAGAGTGGGTTTCTAGAATAAAGGAAGAATCAGAATAAAGGAGAAAACCAAACCAGCTTTAGGAAATCCACTCTATAAAAATTCCATCATTTGAGGGGGAGGGGGAAACTACATCTCTTTCCCAAAATTCATTAGGGCAGGTCTGAGTCCTTTCCTGTCCTAAGATCAGGACTCTCCAAATGTGGCAGGCATGGACTATCCTTCTCTCCTCTCTAAAACAAACAAACAAAAAGATCCCTTTTTGTCTTAAGTTAGGGGACATGACAGGTCAATGCCTGTGTAACATCGGATCCTCAGATGATGATGGAAAAAGGAAGATGTCCTAGGAGAGTAGTAGGAAAGAGAGGAGGACCCAAAAGTCCTTGGTTCACCCTCTGAGTCAACAACCAAAGACCCATTCCCTTTCTCTCCGGCAGAAGACATTCCCCCCAGTCCTTTGGGAGGTTCTGAGAAAACTGGAGCTCCCTATCCACAACTCTTCACTTCCTGAGGGGCCTAATGAAAGGAACCCACAACCCCATCCCTTTTTTTCAATGCTAAGTGCAGGAGGAGGGATTACTACTCCCTTCCCCAGCAGAAAGAAGAGACCAAAACCTGAACAGGTTTCTCAGAGACCTGAAGGTTCCAGTGCCCAGCCCAGGACTGCCTTCTCAACTACTCCTTTTCTTACCAAAACTCAGTTCTGACGTAAGAAGGGGCATAGAAAACCTCTGCTAAGTATGGGAAGGATCTACAATCAAAGGGGCAAGAATATCAATGAGATCATTTTGGGGTCCAAAACCATTTAATAGTCCCTTCTTTCTAAAGTAGGCCTCTTGTACCTAAATAATCAAGAGTCCAACTCTCCTTGATTGAAGGTAAACTACTGAAACCCAGGCACTCATTCCACTGATATAGGCTATCACCAAAGTAGTAAGATCCAAATCGTTCCTGATATCAAGAGCCAAGTCCAAAAACTACAACTATGTGTGACACCAGCCCAGTCACCAACCTATGCCCTGGGCCAATCCAATCCAATAAACATTTATTATGTACCTACTATATACAAAGCACTGAGCAAAAGGTTCTGGGGGATGGCCTCATAGAAGGGAGAAAATTCCCAGCTCTGTGTCAAACACAAATTGTTTTCTCCAGATGAGAATTTTTCAGGCATCCCAGTAGGGCTACAACACAGAGTCCCTCTCCGTTCTCTTCTGTCCTTTCCCACCCCTCCCTGAAGCCCGGGGGAAGTGGAAACTAGGTTCTGCCTCCTCTACTACCTTTTATACAGAAAACCCACTTGCTGGCTCCCTTGGAGGGGTCTAGTCTCTATTATATCAGCAATGGCAAGGAGAACGTCAAAAGTGCTCCATCAGCAATGATCAGGACCCTGGATAGACCTGGGTCCCTTCCCTCTAGATAGAGATTTGCCTCCTGTCCCGTATCCTATAGGTTTGGGATAGTGCTCCCAGGTTAAGCTTCGGTAGCTAGAGAATGGGGTTTTGAGCAGATAGGAAATGGGTACCTTCATTTGGGTTCCTCCTCACATTTTCGGAGAAACCATTTCCCTAGAAGACAAGGAGATGGCAACAGAAACGCTAAGGAACCAACGCCCCAATGGACAATCGAACCCACGGAAAAAGGAGTCGGAATCACAAATCCTTTTCCCATAGTTTCTTACCATCATAGGTTTTGCTTTGAGAAATAGAAGTTGTGTTTGGGGATCCTCAGATTTCCCCCAAAAGCAACTGTAGCCCCCAGACGCTCAAAAAGGTCTTGGGTCCTCAAGCAGACGGTAAATACTTTGTTCCCGTCAAAGCAGTTTTCAAAGTGAGGACAAACTGAAGCCCATTTCCTCCAATCCCATCCATGCAAGTTTCAGAGGAGCCCCAGGGAACAGAGGCTAGGGAGACCAAAACTGGGAGGAGACAAACCACCCCAGATACAAGCATCACCACATTAACAACAACAACAACAACACAACAAAAACTGAAGGCATTTTGTACCAGTTTTCCTTTCCAATATTCCTACTTTACACTACAGCCAAAAGAGAGAAAGGAATAATATGTCATCATAAAACATTTCAATTATAAATCAAATAAAGCAAATTTTAACTGCTGGAGTAGGAAAAAAAAAAGAATTTCATGCAAATTCCCTTAGAGCAAATGGTTCCAATGTTAAGGGGGAGAAAACAGGTTCTCTCTACTCTAGGGAAGCCTACAAAGGCACTCTGAAAAGAATGAATATGATTGAAACTGGGTATGATGTTTACAACGAAAAATTGTTCAAATTTGATTAGAATTTTGAACACTGGCTTACAGTTAGCATTTACATTCCAAATAAAAAGCTTAACCACTTAAATAAGAGAAATCTTCTCCTTTGTTAATTATCTGAGCTTTATTCATCAGGGTGACAGAAAGATGCCTCATATCCAATTATTTATATTTATTATTTTAAAGTAAGTGTCAGGCATAAAATTAAATAGGTACAAATGAAATAAAATTGAAAATAAAACAATAGAGAAAACGATATTTAAAATTAAGAGGCTTAAGAGACTCAATATTAAAGAAGAAAGGGACTTTATCAATCTATCCAAGTCTCTGATTTGATAGATGAGGAAATACAAGTTATCCTCCCAAATTGTTTAAGTGTTTGATTTTTCTTTAAGGCTTGTTCATATTATTGGAGGTGGGAAGCAAAAGCAAAAACCTGCTCAGTAAACAGTATTAAGTTTACTGAGACTATTTTATTGTGCAATTTTGACTGATTCTAGCTTTTAAAACACCTTTATAAAAAAAATAGGTACGACTGCCCATATAAGAAAAGCAAGCTCTGAATACATAAAAACCAAAAGAAACCAACTCAATTCAACCGAAAAGAAAAATGAGGCAGGAGAAGGAAAGGAAGATTATTTGATTTTCAGACTTTAGGGAATTTCAAAATTAACAAGTTCTACTTGGAATTTAAAAAATTAAAGTTAACATATACAGTTAAAACTACAAAACACTAGTAAAAAAACCCCACATACCTACCTTCCTCCTACCTCTTGCTTGTGGAGTTCCTTAACCAAAACAAGTTATCTTGATTAGGATATCAACATTTTATAATGTGCACAGACAAAAGCAAAACATGAACTACCAATTTTCATGAGCTATTTTAAAAGCAAAAGAAATCAAATCCCTGCCTTAAATCAAACAGTTATTTGAAAATCTGAAATCACAACTAAGATATTATATTAATGATACTCAACATGGGGGACTTGGCCACTTCTTTTAATAACCAGGAAATATGGGGAGATTTTCGATACATTTTAATATTTCAAAAACCAAGAAACACAGTAGTTTAATTCCTTATGAAACCATTATTAAGACGTTTGTCTTATTGCTCCAACCAATTCCTCAAAGTTCTACCTCTTCAAGTCTTTGTCATTCCAAAGATTTCATGGTTAAATTTTTGATGTGAGCATTAAAAATCTGAAAAGAATCCATTTATGTACTACTACCACATGTTACAAAATGCCATTAGAATCGTTTGAAGAAAAGCGAGCAATAAATACAATATTAACACAAAGAAAATTTCGGTAACCAATTTATCAGAGCAGAAAGAGTACCCAGAAGGACAAAGCAGGATACAAATTTTTTAAATATTCAGACTCCCGAAACCCATCCTTTCTTATTTTATGTTTCCGTAGTTTTTAAAATTGTTTTCAAGCTACTCAAAGGACTTAAAAGTTCTAGTAACATTGAATACTTCAATTCCCGAAATCTCTCTTGATATTTATAAAAAGCCCAAATTTGGAGAGTAGCAATGAGGGACCTGAAGGAAAAGATTCTTTAATCTTAACAAAAGATGGCAAATCAAATTCTGCTTTCCCTAAATTACTGAAACTGTCCCGAGAGGCAATGAGATGTCTCCAACAGGCTACCAGAAAAATCGGTTTCCTTTCCAAGGAGCCTTTCGTTGTGGTCAAAGGCCCGGGATTACCAAGGGAAAACAGGAATGGACCCACGAATCCAAGGATAATGGAGTGACTTCCTCCAAGGGGGTAGACACAATGGCTTTTAACCACCTGAGCTCGACGAATTCTGAATATTTAGCAACATCACAAAAAGTTCCCCTACAGCCGTTCTGTAAGCCCTCGGCCCGGCCAGTAGGCATCAGGACCTAAGCCCAAGCAGTCTCTGACCTCTGAGTCGAAAACTGTCACCACCAAACGACGGGGACACCAAGGCTGTCCGATATCCCCACAAGCCTTTCTCTTTCAGAGATCTTGACGTTCTTTGGGCAACCCGGCACCTGACAGGAAGGCAATCCAAGCCTCCTACCCTGCCCAACACTGACAAATACTAGAAGGTAGAGAGAAGTAACGGGGGAGCAGTCGGGCTCCAAGCCCCCGGGTGCTGAAGCCCCAAAGTATATGGGTTTGGCGGCCCATGTCTATCTTCTGGTCTGGCTTGACACAAGCTGTCAAAATCATTTTTTTTTAAAACAACGTTTCAACGAAGTGTGTGCTTAGGTAGAGTCAAAAAGGAGCGAAATAAGCGATAGCTTATTCCTACCTTATATTTCCCTTCCCCCCACCCCCATCTCCTTCAACCTCCTCGGTTTAAAGGGGGAAGGAAGAAAGGATCCTCAGAATGGAG